GACCAGAGGGGGGCTGGCAGAAGGAGGCTGCGTGTTGGGGGGGCTCCAGTGGGGCTGAGGCGTTGCATTGGGAGGGGGCTGAATGGGCTGCCCCGAGCCCCCCCCCCAACCTGGCCCACCCCACTGCCCCCCGCCCTATGGCTTGGGGGGTCGCCTGAGGGCTCGGGCCCCTCCCCCTGCTGGGGGCTGGGGGCCCGGACCCCTGGGTTCTCTCCCGGCTCCTGGGGTCAGTGGGGCTAATGGGGGGGAGCCCACACCCCAGCCTCTCCCCGCAGCCCGGCCGAGCCCAGGAGCGGGTTTTAATGCAACTTCCCCCGCAGGTTCCGGCCTCTCAGCTCCGTTCAACTTCCTCACCCCCCCGGCTCCCCCTCCCCCGCCACAGAGACCTGGGGAATCCCAGCAGAGTTCAGGGCCAGGGGAGAACCCAGGCGTCCGGGCTCCCAGCCCCCACTCTGCTCTAACCCACCAGCCCCCCTCCCCTCCCAGAGCCAGGGAGAGAACCCAGGAGTCCTGGCTCCCAGCCCCCCCTGCTCTAATCACTAGCCCCCACTCCTCTCAGCGCCAAGGAGAGAACCTAGGAATCCTGGCTCCCGGCCCTTACCTTGCAGCAGACAGTGGCGCACGTGCTGGGCCTCGTAGCGCAGGCCAGTGCCGTTGGAGAAGTTGAGGGGCTGAGCGGGGGGCGGCAGGGGGCACTCGTGGCGCTGGTTGTTCACAATCAGGGTGGTAGGGGCGTACCAGGGGGCGGGGACCTAGGAGGGTGCAGGCAAGAAAAGGTTAATAATGCCCCCCCCCCGTTAGGATATGACCCAGCTGCCCCCACTCCTCACACACATTGTTCCCAGAGGCAGGGGAGAACCCAGGTGTCCTGGCTCCCAGCCCCCTCTGCTCTAACCACTAGACCCCACTCCCCTCCCAGAGCCAGGCAGAGAACCCAGGAGTCCTGGTTCCTGGCCAGTTTTTCTGGTCTTTTCTTCCCCTTGGGCTGCCCTCTCTGTGCCCTCCTTCCCCGCCCCCCCACCTCGATGGAGCCCTTGGTGCCGCAGATCCGGGCCTCGTTGGGGAGCTCGATGCGCATGGTGCAGGACAGCACGGCCTGGCGCTTGCCCGCGTAGTTCAGGATCACTGAGGTGGTTTCGTCCACACCTGGGAAATGGAAACAGCAGCACCTCAGTCCTGCCCCGCTGGTGCCCCTCAGTCCTGCCCCGCTGGTGCCCCTCAGTCCTAACCCGCACCCCCCACACACTGCCAGTGCCCCTGAGTCCTGCCCCCTACCCCGCTGGTAGCCCTCACGCCCAACCTGCAGCTCCCCCGCCCTGCCGGTGCCCCTCACTCCACCCCGGTACCAGAGGACTGGAGGAAGCCCGAGGCGACGATGGACTCCGGCCGCTCCCCCCCAAAGACCATGCTGGCGAACTGGACGCAGTAGCAGCCGATGTCCAGAATGGCGCCGCCCCCCAACTTCTTCTCCACCAGCCGGGGGATGTTCTCCATGGGGTGCCCCACGCTCACTGAGATCAGCGTCACCTCGCCCAGCGCCCCCTGGGTGAGCAGCCGCCGGATCTGCTCCGAGATGGGGAAGAAGCGGGTCCAGAAGGCCTGGGGGGGGCAGGGGCAGAATCAGGGCTCAGCGCTAGAGGGCTCAGGGCTGCAGGAGTGGGGGTCCCAGCAGGGAGTGCTGGGGAGCGGGGTGGGGGCTCAGCAGGGGGCCCTGGGCTGCAGGGAGCGAGGGGGGTCCCAGCAGGGGGTGCTGGCCCCACGGCAATGCGGGAGGCGCTGTGCCAGAGACGGATCAGGGGTGACTCTACCGCTCCCTCAGCACCCGTGACCTGGGGTTGGGTCCCCTCGGGGCTGCCTCACGGGTGGGGCCGGCTGCAGCCTGTCGGGGCCTGTCCCCCAGCAGTTCCCCTGGGATCGTCACGCGGGGCCTTCCCAGCGCCCGCCTCCCACCTGGGCATGCCACGCCGGGCGCGCCCCTGGCCAGGGGATCCCTGCGCCTTTCCCAGCGCTCAGACATTGCCCAGCTGGGGGGACGCGGGTGAAGGATTAAGGGACGTCCCGTCTGCGGAGGGTTCAGCCCATGTCTCTGTGCGCCCTCGGTGTTGCCCCCTAGGGGGCGCTGGACTGTGGGGGGCTTGGCTGGGGGTGCTGGGCTGCAGGGGGATACGGGGGGGCCCAACAGGGGGCGCTCTCCGCGGTGCTCAGGCCTGGCCCCGATGCCCCAGGGTGGTGCTAGGGGGCCCGGGGCTCTAGGGGGTCACTCACCTCCATCAGGAAGACCCCATGGCTCCGGGCCAGCTGCGCCAGCTCCCTCACCTCCGCCGCGTTCATCCCCAGGGGCTTCTCCAGCAGCACGGGCTTCCCGGCCCCCAGGAAAAGCCGCCCCACGGGCAGGTGCTCAGGGTGTATGACCCCCACGTAGACCACATCTGCCACGGGAGGTGGAAATGGGGGTGGAACCCAGGGGTCCTGGCTCCCAGCCCTCCCCCACCAGCTCTAACCATTGGACCCCACTCCCCTCCCAGAGCCAGGGAAAGAACACAGGTGTCCTGGCTCGAGGCCGCCCCTCGTGCTGCAATTCACCCCTCCCAAGTCAGTCCCCACATTTGGGGGTCTCAGCCTGCCCCAAAGGTATCCCTGGACACACACACTGTCCCCAGAGGAGAAAGGCCCCATGCCCCATTCCCTGCCCCCCTGAGCCAGCCAGTCCCTGTCCTGGGGCCGGGTGGGAGCCGGCATCCACTAGAGAGGACAGGCTCCATGTCCTGCCCCACAGGGGTTCTCTCTGGGTCGGGTCCCATGGGGGTCCCCGGGGGGCTCACCCACGTCGGGGTCCCGTGCCAGCTCCTCGTAGCTCCCGTACGCTCGGGGGATCCCGTGTTTCTGGGCGTATTCCTGAGCCCGGGAGAGATCACGTGCGGCGATGGCCACAGCCTGGGTGGGGGGAAAGGGATAAAGGGCAGGTGAGGAAACCAGGACCCCCCCAGAACCAACCCCCCTCCCAGTCAGCGAGCACTGAGCCAAGAACCCAGGAGTCCTGGCTCCCAGCCCCCTCTGCTCTCACCACCAGACCCCCACTCCCCTCCCAGAGCCAGGGATGGAACCCAGGAGTCCTGGCTCCCCCCTCCCCCTTAACCACTAGATCCCACTCCCCTCCCAGAGCTGGGGAGAGAACCCAGGAGTCCTAGACCCCACTCTCCTCCCAGAGCCAGGGATGGAACCCAGGCGTCCTGCAGCCTTTCCCCCACCTGATGCTCCGTGGCCGGGAGAGTCTTCAGGGCCACCAGGAAGTCATGGCTGATCCTGCCGGCGGAGCAGATGCCCCAGCGGGTGGCCATGGTCTTGGGGGCTGCACTGCAGGAGGGTCCTGGCTCCTGGGGGACGCGGGGGGCAGCAGCGTCTCTCCTGCTCCAGGTTGGGCTGGTGCACGGTGGAGCCGGCTGAGCAGCTGCCCGGGCGCGGGGGCGGGATGGGGTGGGGCGGCCCGAGGCAGAGTGGCACACCCTAGGTCACTGCGCATGGGGCGGGTTCGACGGGGGGTGGGGTGGCGGGGGAGAATCATCCCCTCCCTCCCTCCAGGGCACAGATAGGGGGGCATGGGAGGCGGGGGGGGGGGGAGATTTCTGCTCGTCTCTTTCTCTTTCACTGCCCCCAGCCCACCAGGATTGGGGGAGTGGGTGAAGGAATAGGGGTCACTGGGGTGGGTGAGCAAAGGGAGGTGGGGTGGGGAGGCCCTGGGGTTGAGGGGGAGGGAGAAGAGGACGGGGGGGGCTCATCGGGGTGGGGGGTTATGGGTGTCACAGACCCACGGGGGCTGCTCTGTGCCCCAGCCTGGAACCAGTCTCCTGGGCGTGACCCCTTAGTGGACAGGGCCCCGTGGCCTCTGAGACCAAGCCGTGATCCCCCCCGGGTGCCCCCTCCCCCTCTCTGTGCCCCCCCGGCTGCGAGTCCAGCCCACCCTGCGCCCTTTGCCAACCGCAGGCCCGTCTGCGGGCTGGCACTGGGGTGAAGAGTCTGGCAGGGTCCGGGCGGGTCAGCCCAGCACCCAGCCAAGCTGCTGTGAGCCCCATGGCCCAGCCCCACTTGTTCAACACCAGCCCTTTATCCTCCCCTCAGAGTGTCTGTAGGTTGGGGGGGACATAGCCAGGTGGAGGCCTTGGGGTTGCCCTTGTTGGCTCAGATCCTTGGTGCTCCCCCAACTTCCACACCCCCTGAGAGCAAACAGACCCCGCCCAACACACCGGGCAGCCATGTGAAACACAAGGGAAACTGAGGCAGACACAGGCCTCATAACAATAGTCCAGACAAGGCCTACTTTGTCACAGCTGGTAACCCCCAGCCGTGCGATTCTGGGGTGTCTGAGGTACGGGACATCTGGTGGGGTCAGCGCTGGTGGTAAGGTGGGTTGCAGGGCTCAGGGCAGGGGGGGCTGGAGAGGAGCAGCGCCCTGAGGGGACCCCAAGATGAAGGAAACGCCCATGGAATCCAGCAACCTGAGGGTGAGGTTGGCGGGGCACCCCCAAATTGGACTCAACAACCAGCCCCCCTCGGGGGGTCTCGGTTCTGGGTAGATTTTATTTGGATCAAGAATCTGTTACACTCTCGGGGGTGAGGAGCACTTCAAAGTCCGTGGATTGGGGGGGGTCCCCCAGAACAGCCCTGACCCCCCTTCTTTGGGGGCGGGGGACATTGAATCAATCAAGATGGCGGCTGCAGCTGCTGTCACGGCAACGTCTTCGAAAGAGGTGAAATGGTTCAGGGCCAGAGGGGAAAGGTGAGGATGAAGGGTCAGAGGTCAAGGGCAAAGGGAAGGGTCAGAGGTCAAGGGTCAAATAGACCACAGGCCAAGGATGAAGTCAGAGGGCCACAAGGAAAGTCAGGGGTCATAGGTCAAGGATGAGCTAGGCCCAAAGAGGCGAGAGGCCAAGATGGGGAGGTCAAAGGTCAAAAACGACATTAAAAATGCCAGAGGTCAGAGTAGTGAGAGGTCAAAGGGTAAAGTCAAGGAATCAGAGGTCAAGGGTGACAAGGCCCCGTCAACAGGGGAAGGGGTGGGTCAGAGAGGAACCAGCCACTCAGAGTAGGTCAGCATAGGTCAGAGGTCGCAGGGTCGGAGGTTGTGGGGTCATTCCAAGGTTGTGGGGTCAGAGGTCATGACTGAGGTCGTGAGGTCGGAGGGGGCGGGGGCTACTCGCAGGCGAGTTTCCCGTCGAAGCTGGACAGGCAGATGGCGAAGGCCTGCAGGGCGCAGAGGGGGGCGCGATAGTCCATGGTGAAGACGTCGGGCGCCACCCGGCCAAACTGCAGCACGATGTACTCGGCTGGCGGGAGAGGGGGATGGGGGGTTAGTGTGTGGGGCACAGCCCCCCAAATCTCCCCGAGCCCCCCAGAATCCCCCCAATCCTCATCCCAGATACCCCCTGTTCCCCCCCAATCTGCA